CGCGATCGCGGAGAACAATTTTTCCAGCCCAAAATTTACTCTTCGCGATCGCGGTCAATGCTTCGCGATCGCGATGAACAGTTCCCAGCTCTTCCGGACAGCCTCCAGTATAACAGTCATAACGTTTTGCACACAACTTCAAATTACAAATGGTTTGATGTTCTGAAAACTAGACACATAGAGCTATAATTTTATATGTTGCTCATTTCCTGACTCCTTATACATTGCGAGATATAAGCTTTCAAATCAACCTGTGTATTAGAGACCTTCCTGGGCAGCCTATAGTGTAACCACCATAACTTTTTGTACACAACTTCAAATTCCAATTAATTTACATTTCTGAAAATTAGACACAAAGGGCTACAATTTTCATTTTCGGATCATCTCCAAATTCCTTATAGATTGTGAGATATAAGCTTTCGAAGTGGGATCAATGCAACCGGATATTTCTTCTCCGCGATCGCGAACGGCTTTCCGCGATCGCGATTCATTGGCACATTTCTCACATTTTACTCACCGTGATCGCGACCAATTCCCCGCGATCGCATGGAACACTGCTGTAACCAAAAACCAGCAGTTAAAAATGGCCTAGAAATGGTCCGAAACCACCCCGAAACTCACCCGAGGCCCCCGGGACCCCAACCAAAAGCACGTACATGTCTTAAAACATTATCCAAACTTGTTCCAATCATCAAAACACATCTAACAACACAAAAATCATCAATTCTCATCGGATTCAAGCCTAAGTTCTTTAAAAACTTTCGAAACACGCATTCGATCAAAAACCCAACCTAACGGCGTCCGAATGACTTGAAATTTTGCACACACATCACAAATCACATATCGAAGCTACAGCAACTCTCGGAATTCCATTCCGACCCTCGGATCAAAATCTCACCTATCAACCGGAATTCGCCAAAATACTAACTTCGCCAATTCAAGCCTAATTCTACACCGGACCTCTAAAATAAATTCCGATCGCACTCCTAAGTCACAAATCATCCCCCGAAGCTAACCGAATCACCGGAAATCACATCCGAGCCCTATAACTCATAAGTCAACATCCGGTTGACTTTTCCAACTTAAGCCTTCCTTAAAGAGACTAAGTGTCTCATTTCTTATCAAAGCCAATCCAAATCAACTCTCACACACCACATACCGATAACGAAACATGAAGAAGCATAAAATGGGGGAAACGGAGCAGTAACACATGAGACGACGGGTCGGGTCGTCACAATAAACATATTTACGGCGGAGTCCCATATGGATAAGCTTCTTCAGGAAGCTTATTTACAACGTAGTACTAAATGAACATCCATAATATAATATATTTATAACACTCCCCCTTGGATATTTATTAAAAGATAATGTGCCTCATTAAAACCTTACTAAGAAAAACCCCATGGGAAAAAATTCTAGTGAAGGAAAAAGAGTACACATATTTAGTAATACGCATTGCTAGGTGCCTCATTATAAACCTTATAAGGAAAACCCTATAGGAAAAAACCTTAGTAAGAAAAAATGAGTGCATCGCGTATTTTACTCCTCCTAATGCCTTGTTTCAAATATTTGAGTCTCCGTATTCTAATCTTGTATCTGCATAACCAATACGATTTGCNAAAACTTCAGCTCTAGAGCTGAAGTTCAACAGTTACAAAACAAAAACTTTAGCTCTAGAGCTGAAGTTCGACAGTTACAAAACAAAAACTTCAGCTCTAGGGCTGAAGTTTGCCAGTTACAAACAAAAACTTCAGCTCTAGAGCTGAAGTTCGCCAGTTGCAATAACAAAATCTTCAGCTCTAGAGCTAAAGTTTGCCAGTTACAAAAACAAAAACTTCAGCTCTAGAGCTGAAGTTCGCCAGTTACAAACAAAAACTTCAGCTCTACAGCTGAAGTTTACCAGTTACAAAAACAAAAACTTCAGCTCTAGAGCTGAAGTTCACCAGTAACAAACAAAAACCAGTTACAAAAAACAAAAACTTTAGCTCCTAAGCTGAAGTTCACCAGTTACAAAACAAAACATTCAGCAAAAAAAATATTGTAGTTTTTACAAAAAACAAAACACAAATTCAAATCCAAAAATAATGCTGAAGTTCATAAAAAATGTAACAAAAAAACACAAAACATGAAACAAAACTTTAGCTCCTATCTAAGGTATAATTGAAGTATTATAAACTTCACACTTTAATAGTATCATCTATTTAACTCTCAAAACTTTTAAAAATTTTGACGTCTCCAAAAATCACTGAAGAATTTATAGAATTTTCATCAACAACACAAACACACGTTCAAAAAACCTAAAAATACAATTGTAAAAGTAAAACTAATGCACTTATCAAACTAAACCCTAAGAAACTATGTTATCATAAATACATGACTATCAAAACCAAAAACCAGAAATTAAATCGTAAAAAGTAATAAATAAAATCCAGAAAGTTAATGCAATATACCTGTGATTAAATCGTAATGTTATTGGGGAACAAACAGTTGAAACACAAAAAACAACGACGAAAACCGTTTGATTTCAGAGAAGAACAAATCAAAAAACGTGAATAACGGGAGAGAGAGACAGAAATAGTAGAGGACTAGTGTATACTTGGACAGAAAGTAGTCTTTTAATAAAGAAGGGAAAAATAGTCTTTTTAAAAGGCTTTTAATAAAAAAAACGGGTACGGGTGCAAACAGAAAAACAAAGTGGCTACAGGTTAAAAAGGGGCGCCCAAATAGGGCGCTCCATGCAATTTTTACGATATTGTAGGGCTAGCTTAGGAGTCTTATATTACGAATTGTATGGATTAGAAGTTTAGATTTGTTCAATTGTCATGCTAATAGATAATTGTTAAAATGTTTTTTGTTATTTCACATTATTATCAAATATTAAGTAGTTACCCACTTTAGTTAAGACTAGATACCAATTTAGATTTGACCATAGACCTATTTAGACGTGAATTAAGTAAACTACATGATAGTTTCAGGAAGCTCCCTTTTGTTATCGCTTTGTAACAGTAATTTGTCATGTGGATTGCAATAGTTTATACTTATGTCTCTTGTTTTGATTTCTTTGTGATAAAATAATACACTCTGTCCATTATCGTTTCTAATAGTACAATATTGTAATTACTTATGTTCAAGATCAGTTTGTGATTCTTTGGAATATATGAATACGATAGAAATTTATTTCTGCATATTACTTGTTTCATTGTTGGGAAGAAGAAATATTTCATATACTAGGTAGACAAATGTGGCTTCTTTACAATCAAATTGGAATAGAAAATCTAATCATGTTAAATTCTCTTGAAACTGATCATATAATTCCTCACGTTTTCAAGGTTTTGCCAACTTAACTAAATATTTTTATATATTTAGTAATTTCTCTAATACAAATGCAAGGTAGATCTAAGTAAAAACTATTAAATTTCGTCCAGCCCGTAAATAAAAGTAGATTCAGATTTTAAATTTTATGTGTTCAATCTTTAAGAATCTTAGTATTGAACCAATTATATTTTCAAAAGTTATGAGTTCATATCTAATATTTTTTGTAATTTTAATAAATGATTACACATCAGGTTCAGCTCTTATATATATAGCCCATTATTATTTGGGGGGAAGTGCACGGTTGGCCACTAATAACACATGTATTTACTTTTAAGCCACCGCTTAAAATGTCTTTAGTCTTTAGCCACTGCTTTAATAAACTTTAACTGCCCGGATGAAAATACCCTTCTACTCATGTCCTTAACTTTTGTACTTAACTTCAGGACTTCAGGACTACATGTCCTTAACTTTTGAACTTGGAACTCTAAGTTCAGGACTTCAGGACTACATGTCCTTAACTTTTGAACTTGGAACACTAAGTTCAGGACTTCAAGGCTACATGTTCTTAACTTTTGAACTTGGAACTCAAACTTCAAGACCAAGCGTCCTTAACTTTTGAACTTGTAAGTCAAAGTTAAGGACCTATTGTCCTTAACTTTTGAACTTGTAACTGTAAGTTAAGGACTACTTGTCCTTAACTTTTGAACGTATAACTGTAAGTTAAGGACTGCCTATCCTTAACTTTTGAACTTGGAAATCAAAGTTAAAGACCTATTGTCCTTAACTTTTGAACTTGTAACTGTAAGTTAAGGACTGTCTATCCTTAACTTTTGAACTTGTAACTGTAAGTTAAGGACTGCATGTCCTTAACTTTTGAACTTGTATCCTTAACTATTGAACTTAACTTTAGGACTTCAAGACTACATTTCCTTAACTTTTGAAATTGAAACTCTAAGTTCAGTACCATGTCCTTAACTTTTGAATTTACACACTATATTATATATTATGTATATAGCCTTTGTTCAACACTAAAGACTAACTTATCTGTGTGCAAATTAATTAACACAGGCCTAAAGCGTTGTGGTAAGAGTTGCCGGTTAAGATTGTTGAATTATTTGAAACCAGATATTAAACTTGGAAATTTTATACAAGAGGAAGACAACATTATCTGCTCTCTCTACACTCAACTTGGAAGCAGGCTAATTCTTGCTCTTTTAAAACCTGATTTTTTTCTTTAACTTTCCCATTTTAATAACATTTTTAGTATTTAAGAGTGACCCCAAGTATTTTTATTTTTATTTTTTGAATTTGCAGATGGTCTGTTATAGCATCTAAGCTACCACGAAGAACAGACAATGATGTGAAAAATCACTGGAATACTAAATTGAAGAAGAAGATACTAGCAACTAGTGCAAACCCTACAAACAACTTTGATAGCAAACAAGTTTTTCATTCCTCATCAATGGTACCAAAAGAGGAAGAACAACAAGCAGTCTATCCTCCAATATTTGTATACGTAGGATCAGAGAGAAAAGAGATAGAAGAAAGGGTAACACAGTATTTTCATATTAATTTTAATAGACTAGTGGCTACTATTGCTAAGCATTAAAAATGCTGGATAAAAAGTAAATACCAGCTTAAACAGTGGCTACCCCACGCCATTTCTACTATTATTTGCTCTGGTGATGGATGTGTTGATGCACCACATTCAAGAGGAGGTGCCATGGTGTATGTCATTTGTAGATGACATGGTGCCAATCGATGAGACGCACTGCGGGGTTAATGATCGGCTGGAGCTGTGGAGGCACACCCTGGAGTCTAAAGGTTTCAAGTTGAGTAGGAAAAAAATTGAATACTTGGAGTGCAAGTTCAGTGTTGGGACACATGAATCAGAGATAGAGGTGAAGCTTGATACACAAGTCATCCCCAAGAGAGATAGTTTCAAATATCTTGGGTCTGTTATTCAGGGGAACGGGGAGATTGATGAGGATGTTACACATTGTGTTGGAGCGTGGTGGATGAAATGGAGGCTTGCGTCTGATGTTTTGTGTGATAAGAATGTGCAACCAAGGGCAAGTTCTACAAAGTAGTTGTCACGACCCAAAACCCCGCACTAGTCGTGATGGCGCCTCTCGTGAAGACAAGGCCAGCCAACTAACCCAAATAGTCCCTTTCAAAGTAGTTAAACATAAATGAATAGCAAAATACGACTTAAGGACATTAATTAACGAAGTTTACAACCCAACACAGCCCGACCGGGGTGTCACAAGTCACGAGCATCTAGAGAAGTCTAAATACAACTACAGGGCCAACAATATACGGAATAAAGTTTAGAACCAAAGGAAGTAATCCGGTGCTGCGAACACTGGCGGTCACTCTGCTCAGCTACGATAGCAATACCTTCAACCAGCTCAAAACCCACTACCGGGTGAACAATACCTGCATCTGCACGCGAGGTGCAGGGAGTAAAGTGAGTACTCCAACTCATGAGTAATAAAAGTAAATAATAACTGAGCAGCAAGAAATCACGTAAAGCAACCAACATACTATACAGAAGCCGGGTGAAATTTTCTGAGAAAACAGTGAAATCTGAGAAATCTTTAGAAATACCTTGGCTCAGTTCAAATCTCTTTTAAAAATGATCTTTTCAGTGATCACGAAAACGATTTCAAAACAGTTAGTGCTGATACGCACAGAAAATCCGCCCCTCGGGCACAAATACCACGGTATAACAGGTAAAGAGGCAAATAAGTATACAAGATGAGCACATAAAAGTTCGCCCCTCGGGCAATATCTCAAAACAGTACCGGCCCCTCGGGCATGATTTATGTTCCTGGTCAGTCATTGTTACCTGACCGGTCAGCCATTGTTACCTGACCAAAACGTGTATTACAGTGTCATTGTTACCATTGGTCAGCCATTGTTACCTGACTGGTCAGTCATTGTTAGCTGACCAAAACACGTATGACAGTGTCATTGTTACCACTGTCCAATTCTAAGTGGGTACCCGCGCTCACTGTGGGTGTGCAGACTCCGGAGGGGCTCCTACAGCCCAAGCGCTATATCATCATAAGGCCTGAAAGCCTGAACATATCAACATGAGGCCTGAAAGCCTTCTCACAATACACTCGAGGCCTGAAAGCCTCCTCACATATCACTCGAGGCCTGAAAGCCTCCTCACATCACTCGACATATCCTCACATATGGCCCTCGGCCTCAATCAGTCCAAAAATAATCATAAGCCCCTCAGGCATCAGTAAAGACAATAATTCTCAGCTGAAACACTAATTCAAACATCAGTTAAAACTCAAGGTTGAGTAAAAATATAGCTGAGTTCATGAAACAGTGTAATTCAAATGGACTGAGTTCAAATAATATTTCAAATAGTGAGGAAAACAGTGATGATAGCTCACAAGGATTTTAAACAGTCGGCAATAAGCCCCAAGTATGGCAATCAGCCCAAGTCATGATAATATCAAATAAGTTTCAGTCAAATACGCGGTAAAATCAACAATCGGGACGGACCAAGTCACAATCCCCAACGGTGCTCTACCCCACGCTCGCTATCCGGCGTGCAAGTCACCTCAATATAGCACTACGGCGTGCAAATCCGGGGTTTCAAACCCTCAGGATATCATTTACAATCATTACTCACCTCGAACCGGTGAAATCTCTAGCTCGCGACGCCCTTGCCCCATCAAATCGGCATCCACGCGCGTCGAATCTAACCAAAATCAGAGCGAATACATCATAATATGCTAAGGGAACAATACCCAATCGAATACAATCGAAAAATAGCAACAATCTCGAAACTAGCAAAACCCGAGCCGCGGGTCCACTTCCCGAAAAATTACAAAACTCACATTACCGGATTCTTCGTCTCGCCACGAGTCCATACATACCAAGAACTCCCAAATCCGAGCTCAAATGACCTATCAAATCCCAATTTGAAATATCAAAAAAAAAAAAAACTCAAGCCCTAGCTTTACCCCCTTTTGATGAATTTCAACCAATTTCCATGTTAAATTTAGCATAATTTCATGTATTTGGGTCAAGGGACTTACCTCCAATCACACCTAGTCGAAATCCTCCTTCAAATCCGTCCAATAGCTCTCAAGCTCGTGTAAAAATGGTGGAAATAACTTAACCCTCGCGGAGCAAAAATGAATATAAACTCCTACTGCCTACAACGATTTTCGCTTATGCGGTCCCGCTTCCGCATATGCGGGACCGCTTCTGCGGCCATTTCCCCGCTTATGCGATTTCTCACTTAACTTACCACTTCCGCCTTTGCGACATATTCTCCGCTTCTGCGGATTACCCAAGACCGCTTCTGCGGTTATTCACTCGCACCTGCGGACCCACTAATGCGAAAAGGGGTCCGCTTATGCGGAACTCATCAATTCAACACAAGATCGCTTCTGCGCTTTTCCACCCGCTTCTGCGGTCCATTTCCGCAGAAGCAGAAATACCAGACAGAAATCTCAGACCTGAAGCAACTTCCAAAAACTCTCGTTTAACCACTCGAATTCACCCCGAGGCCCCCGGGACCTCAACCAAAAACGCCAAAACATCCTAACACCTCATTCAAACTTGTTCCAATCCTCAAAACACATCTAACAACGCTAAAACCATTAAATCACATCGGATTCAAGCCTAAGTTTCTTAAAAACTTCCGAATTACGCATTCGATCAAAAACCCGACCTAAACACCTCCGAATGACCTGAAATTTTGCACACACATCCAAAATCACCTAACAGAACTACTGCAACTCTTGGAATTTTATTCCGACCCTCGGATCAAAATCTCACCTATCAACCGGAATTCGCCAAAATACTAACTTCGCCAATTCAAGACTAATTCTACACCGAACCTCCAAAATCAATTCCGATCGCACTCCTAAGTCACAAATCATCCCTCGATGCTAACCGAATCACCGGAAATCACATCCGAGCCCTCTAACTCATTAGTCAACGTCCGGTTGACTTTTCCAACTTAAGCCTTCTTGAAAGAGACTAGGTGTCTCATTCGCTACCGAAACCAATCCGAATCAATTATAACACACCAAATACTGATAGTGAAACATGAAGAAGCATAAAATGGGGGAAACGGGGCGGTAGCTCCTAAGACGACGGGTCGGGTCGTCACAGTAGTAGTTAGGCCGACTATGTTGTATGGAGCCGAATGTTGGCCAATAAAGAAATCTCATGTCCAAAATATGAAAGTAGCAGAGATGAGGATGTTGAGATGGATGTGAGGGCATACCAGGAAGTAGGGGGTGCACTCGATTTTGACCCTTATCGATAATTACTTATCGATTATCGGCTTGTACATATGCTTATTGTTATCGTTTCAATAAGGATTCGACTTTTTCGATTTCAATTTATCGATTTTTGGGGCTTATCGATTCGGTTATCGATTACATCAATAAGAAAATTTGCGGGATTCCACGGAAAGTATATCGCTATAAACACGCCTAACTAATATGGACAAAAGAAGCTAAAAAAAGATGAACACTGTTTATAACATAAAAATTGTGTCAACAAGCACATGCAACGAAACTAAAGTAAGAGATAAAATGTATGCCACCAACACTCTAACGGTATAAAAAAAATAAAATACATTATCACGGCTAATTTTGTTTTTCATTAATTTGAATTTCATTCCCTTGAGCTTTGAATATGATCATTCCTAAAATGTGGTAGAGGAAATAATAGGGTTAGGGACTTAGGGTAAAGGAAAGGGTATTATAGAATAAGGGTAAAAAAAAAATTAAAAAAATTTGTCTTTTTAGTATATCTTATCGGTTTATCGATAAACCGATAACCGAAGAGGACAAAATCGAAATCGAAATCGATAAATCGATAAACCAATATCGATAAACCGATAACAAATAATCGATTCGATTTGTCGATAAACCGATTCGAATGCACACCCCTACCAGGAAGGACCAGATTAGGAATGAAGTTGTTATGGACAAGGTGGGTGTGGCCCCTGTGGAAGACAAGTTGCGGTAATCGAGGCTGAGATGGTTCGGGCAAGTGAAGAGGAGAGACATCGATGCCCCGGTGAGGAGATGCGAGAGGTTGACCATAGCAGGTCAGAGGAGAGGTAAAGAGAGTCCTCGGAAGTACTAGAGAGAGGTGATTAGGCAAGACATGACTCTACTTCAGCTTACTGAGGACATGACGCTCGATAGGGAGGTGTGGAGGTCGAGGATTAGGATTGTGGATTGACAGGTAGTCGAGAATCTCCTTTAGTCATATGTCAAGAGTTCAAAATACTTACAAAAAGCGTGGTAAAAAAGAAACTTTTCCTAACTTTTCAAATAAGTGGAACTTATGGAGTATTTGTTTTAATTTAGCTTATTTTCGGTAGTCCTCTTCTATTCTTATTGTCTTCAATAATTAGTTTATTAAAATAAGAACTTTAAAGCTTGCTAATTTGTTAGAAATTTAACAAACAAGTAGAGTTTAGTATTTTGGTACCAATTAAATCGCTGATTGTTAAGTAAATTATAAAGAATTCGTAAATAATAGTAAATTGTTGCTGTTAAATTTAATTTTTTTTTTTAAAGCACGACCGCAGAAAAGAAAAAAAGAAAGTAGCTAGCAAAGCCCTTTTGAGGTTTTGTTATGAACCAAAGTAACGAGCGCAGTAAAACCCGTTTGTTGCCCAATGGTGCTTCTACTTCCAAATACTATCGTGGACTTTCGTTTTTATCTGTATCCGCTTGCATAAAATTCTGGATCCATCACGGAATATTTTAAATCACACGGGAAGTCAGTGTTCAATTTTGATTTTGATTTCGATAACAGAACCCGAAAGAAATGAAAATACAAACACTAATTCTATGTACATATATTTTTATTTGGGATTTATGTATTTTATTTTAGAACGTTAGGCTTGCAGCTTGTGAAAAAGTTCAAATTTAAAATTCAGGATTTTCGAAAATGTTCTTTTGAGGTTTGAGGTATCATGCTGACCCCCGTGATGTTTCAACTATATATTTAAGAGTGCTTGCTCAGTTTTCTGCATAGTATAGTCCATTGAATTCATGAGGTGTAAATTGAAGCCATATTTTAGTCA